TTTTGGTATATTGCAATGTTGAGTGGTTGTTCCAATTTGACATTTCACTATTGTCCACTACAATATGTTTTTATGTGACCATATTTTTGGCATCTCAGGCTCTGGATAATTTCTCGTTTTGAACGTTCAACTTTGGTAGTTCAACTTGGACTTTTATATTTTGCAGAAACTATATGTCGTAAATTGTTTTCTTGTTTTCTTGCGGTTTCAAATTTACATAAAATGTCGGTAGTGGATCCTTTGTTATGCGATGTTTAATTTTATAAATGACGATTACTATGTGTCCTTTTATGGCAATTTCTTCTGTCTATTCTGCTAGATCAACTGTATAATATATATTTCGAATTACTACTCTGAAACTCCTTTCTTGCTTTAGTTGATGTATGTGAAATGCCGTTTTTTTGTGAAAAGCAATTAAAATTTTTGTATTACTTTTGTAAGCGGTGGGTTGCACTTTGATTTGATTTTTTCCTAGGATTTTGAAGATATATCCTCCCTTTGCTACGTCGTCGAGAATTTTCAGCAGCGGCTTAATACATAATATTTCTGGGATGAAGATTGGAGGTGACTTTATTTCTTTATTTTTGTCGTCTTGTGTTACATAAGAGTTTTGGTCTGTTGTTTGACTTAATGCTTAAAATCAGTTTTCACTGTTTACGCTAGGAATTCAGTAATTGATTTCAATTTAGAATTTTTTATACGAATTTCTGGGCTGTTTTTTAACCTTTCCCTGCTCTTTAGCGACTATTAGTTATTTTCCTGATTTACTAACGTTGGTGAATTACTGTATTGCTGACACGCAATCATTGACTGCGTCTGCGACATATATGCATCGTGGGGTTGTATAGTTATTTGCCCATGTTCACTCTGCTGTATATGGGCTTGTGGAGGATTATAATTTGAGGTGTATATTATAGCCGTCACCTTGGTTAGCTGTCCGGTACGCGAATCATATAGCGTACAGGCATTCGAATATACAATGTTATTATTAAAACTGCTTTTTGTCGCACACTTACACAGCACTACAATAGCAGAAATCAATTATTGCGGTATGTTTATTATACCTACGAAGCGAGATCGAAACACATCTTATTCCGACAACGGTTAAGACAAAAATAATTTACATTTAATACTGTCAATTTTTGCAGATTTAATTGATTTTTATTAATTTGTACAAACCAAGAAGATCCCTTATGAGCTCATATGGAATTAATCGGTTCCTGAATTTTTCCCAGTTTATATAAGCGAATGAAAATTTATCGAAGGGACACTCCTAGTTGCAACATAAGTTCATCTTAAGTCTGAACAGAATTTTCATTCAATAACTGCTCAAGTTACTTGTCTTCAAATTTTTTCGATGAGCTAGAACGTTCTTCATCAGTAAGAGAGTAATCGGCGCTTCGAAACTGTTGGTGCTACTTTTTACAAGTTTTATATGTTACTCTCATTTCCCAAAGCTAAACAAAATATTATTTGCAACTTCGGCTGCATTTCTTTTTACTGGATAATATAAAGAATGCAATGTGTGATCTGCTGCTTGCCGATGGGCATCGTGTCGATACTATTTTGAGAAGTTACAGTTGTCAGTTTACCAAGTTACAGAGCGCGTTTTAAACCTTAAAGTTGGTTCATCAGAACTTACCAAATCACATGGAAATATTTGAATTTAAAACGAAATTATAATCGATTGAAAGTATCGGTATCGAATTAATTTGTGCACTTAATATATATTATTCCAATAGACCATTGATATAAAATTATAATCATTTTATTATATATTTAATATTAAGGAAAGTTAATAAGGCCGTTTTTGTGTTCCCTTCAGATTCCTATTAAATAATTTTTTGTATTGTGTGATCATTAAAAATGTCCAAAATAATCATTAAAAGAGAAAAAACTCGATCCATATAGCTGTTACGTCCTGGAAGAGGACGAACGCAACAAAATTGTTTACTCGCGCACTGACGAGTCCTAAACGTACAGGTAGGTTTACAGATCAGGTCAAGGTCCGGAGAGGTCCATTTACTCCGATTACAGAACGTACGTTAGGTGGTCCTTTATTTAGGTCAAAGAACTTAATCTCTTTACCTGGGATAGGACCATATGAGTGTGTTGAGAAGGGAATTTATATTTAGGTAATTGAAAGGAAATGAATAAATAGTTTTAACGACTTGTTTAAATTCAGGGCATTTTGAATAAAACAGTTTATTAATAACATAATTTGGTTCTCGGATGGATTAATAATAGTGGTAAATTGATAAGAAAAGTCATTGTGAAAGATACAACATTTAAAAGATGAAAGGGTTAGCTAAAGTTAAACAATGAAATATGTGGGTTAACATTAAACAAATTTTTATAAATCAGCGTTACTGGAATAACGCAAATTCAAGATGAAGATTAAAGTGAGATTAAGCAAAAGGTAATTCGTATAACTTAATTTAATACAATCGGATATAACGCAACAAGAATGTTTAACATATCGGTATAGCGAG